AAGGGGAGGACGGAGAGCAGGGGTGGTGGTGGGGGGAAGCACAGGTCCCAGAGCCCCTGGAAGCCTGACAAGGAGAGCACTGCCACTGCAGAGGCCCCAGCTGGCCGTCACTGCCCCCGGGTATGAGGTGGGCCCCAGAAGAGGCCCTCAAAGCCGGTGGCAAGGCCCCCTCCTAAAACGCAAGTCGGCTGGCCCCACTTGCAGAGCACAGACGCTCAACCTCTTCTGGAAGGAAAAGCTCTTGGTGCTCTGGCCCTGTCACGGGGACACAGAGCCAGCAGATGGGCCTGGAACCTACTGCTGTGTGACCCTGGACAGCTCTCACCATGTCTCTGGGCCTGGTCCTACCACCTGTGAAATGAGGGCACTGGCGTGGACAACCGGAAGGGCCACTGTGGGCACTGACTGGGTGTGGAAGGCCACGCTGGATTTGGCTCTAGACACCATGTGGCTGGGGCTGCAGGCCCTGTGACCCCCTCCCACTTCATGGCCCCACCCGAGGCCCGCATAGTACTCACAGGCCACCTGGACCTCGGTTTGCCGCTGCAGCAGGGCGCCCATCCGGTTACGCACGATGCAGCGGTAGAAGCCGGCATGGGTGCGATCCAGGCTGGTGATCATGTACCTGGGGACAGAGGAGACAGCCATGAGCAGCTCAGGCAGCTGCGGAATGCAGGGGTCAGGCTGGGCTCAGGGGTCAGAGGTCGCTGGGTCACCCTCTTCCAATATAAAGAGCACCAGGAGGCTCGAGGCTCTCCGGCCATGCCACAGGATCATGGGAGGGTATATATCAAAGGGAAGGCCCTCCCAAGAGTGCTGTGGCCTCTGCTCGGCACCGGGAAGTAGCCTGCCCTTCCCCGAGGACAGAGGTGTAGGGCCTGGGTTGTTGGCCCTGCTGTGACCAGGCCTCCAAGGGCTGGGTCAGCTCTGCTGGAGGCTGCTGCCCTCCCAGCCTGGACTCTCATGGCAGCGAGGTGGGGACATTTTGGGGGCCAGGCACAGGACAGTGCTGTACCTACTATAATAAGTGATAGGCGTGGAGTGACAGAGGCAGGGAAATTTGCATGTTTCCCCAGTGCTCAGCATCGTTCCCTCCTTAACATTGCAGACAGCTCCACGGCGGCTGGGCAGGGAACGCCGAGCCCTCGGAGTGAGACAGGATGACCTTCTGCGGGTACGGGCTCTTCGGTGGGAGCCAGCCCCTCGGGAATCCAAAGAGCAGCAGAGGCCGGTGCTGGGGCGGGCAGCCAGAGAGTGGTGAAGGTGCTCTCACCTGGGCAGAGCAGGGGTGCAGGAGCCTCTGGCTGAGGTGTGGATGGTGGTGCTCTCTGGTAGGGAGAGCAGAAGGGGAGGCCAGGACCTAAGTCCCCGATTTCCCCTCGGTAATCACCTCTCCCACCCCTGGCAAAGGATGCTCCAGCAGGGTTCTCAGAGAACAAGAGGTCTGGGCTCGGGATCTCTCTCCCCACACCTGGGGTGTCCTAGACTTGGCCTGGCTGACTTGGCGGACAAGCTCACTGTCGCCTGCCCTACGATATGCCAACCTGGGGTGGGGCAGCCTTACTCCCAGGAGTTGCCTGGGGCTTTTTACAAAAGCCCTGACCAGTGCCTGTCATCATGTCATTGTCATCACTATTGTTATGGTCATCATCATCCTTCTCATCATCACTGTCCTCATCGCCACCATCATTGTCATCATTGTCACCGTTATCATTGCCATGGTCATCTTCATCGTCATAATTGTCTTCATTGTCATCATCATCCTTGTCATCGCTGTCACCATCCAGCATCATCGTTGTCATTGCTGTCCTCATTGTCCCCTTCCGAGGATGAACTCCTCCCCTCCCGGAGCCCAGCTCTGCCCCACGCCGCGTTACGTGTTTCCGTACTTGATTTCCCACGGCAGTTCCCGACTACTGGAGACCGTGGATCGGGAACATTAAAAAAAAAAAGGAATTGATGGAAGACTGTCAACGTTCTACTTTGCCAAGATCATTAAAACCAACCAACCAAAAAGCAAACAGACCAACGATCAAGCAACAAGAACAACAGCGACCACAACAAAAAAATAAAAAAGGGACAATATTAAAAAGTGCCAGGGAGAGAAAAATAAATAGAAGTAGTCAGCATTTTCTTTTAAAAGGACATTTCTAAGAAGACAAAAAAGTAACCTAATCTCAGCATAAAGACAATTTAACAAAGTTTTACCCTTTTATGCCCAGTCCACTACTCTCGCCTGACTTTTTTGTCCTTTTATGTAAATGGTTGTAAACCATCCCTGATGGGCATTGGAGAGCTTTGGACTGAAGATCCACACCAGCTCTACAGAGGAGGGACTTTTACTAGCGCCCCATTTTAGGAATGGGGAAATTGAGGCTCAGAAATATCTTGGCCTTCACCTACAGTTTCATACATAGCAAGAGACCAGGCCACGGTCCCACAGGGCCTTTCTGACCCACGTCTGGCTGCGAACCAGAGACCACATCCCCAAGGGCCTCCTCCTCCGTCCAGGGACTGCGCACGCCTGACTCACAGCTGGGCTCGCAGTCAGAGAGCTCTGGCTCTGCAGGACGACCCAGAACCTTTTGGCAACCTGGGCCCCTTATCGTGGCCACTTGCTTCAGTTCTTATCTGTTCCTGGTTACTGCACAGCATGACAATGTGGAGACAGCGGTGCCCGGGCTCTGGCAAATTGCTCTTTCCGTCCTCAACCTTTACCCCAGGGGCTCCCTCCTGCCTGTACCCCACCTCTGCAGAAGTGAAAGGAAGCAGCTTTGGGGGAACCATTTCTGTCCCTAAGAGACACCTGGGAGGTGAGGTGGAAGGAGAGATGGGCTGGCCGAACTGAACTCTCTACCTTTGGAAATGGAAGTGGACATTGTTAAAAAAAATACCAGGGAGAAGAAAACAAATAGAAATGTCCAATAAACTCATAAAAAGGTGCTCAACCTCCATCATAATGAAAGGAATTAAAGTCAAAACACAACCATGGCCACGTATCAGACCCTCAAAGAGCGGTAGGTATGGCCGAATGCAGTGTCGGCCAGAGTGGGGGAAAGGGAAGCCGTACCCTCCGCTCCATTGGTAGAATTGGAAATTGGGGCAAAATCTATCAAAATGAGACTAGGCAAGCCCTTTGATCCAGAGGCTGCCCTGGGGGAGCTGGTCTGTTAGGTACACAGTACACGCAACAACACACAGCAACATGGCAAGAATACATACAAGGATGACCACAGTGGCAGTGCTTGCAATGGCAGAGATGAACAAAAATGGGAAGCAATTTAAATGTCCATCTAAATGGAACCGAATCAGTAAAACGATGCTGTAGCTGCAGAATGAACGAAGAGCACCCGCAAAGGATGAAACAGAAAGGTTTCCAAGACACACGCGGCGTGGAAAGGAAGCCCAAGCTGGAGTTGAGGAGGGTTAGGTGGATAAAACACAGACACAAAGGCTGAACGGTATGGCTTTGCTGTTGGGGCCAAGAATGAGAACAGATTCTTTTCAGTTGCTGTTTATGGCTACCACGCCCTTGGTTTAAGGTTTAGAATCGTGCCAACTGGTGCAATAAAAACAACTTAGTTGGGACCACCAGGTGGCGTGGTGGTCAAGGCACTGAATTCCCAGATGGCTGACCACGGTTCAAGTCCTAGACCTGGTGGCTTGCTCTCTCACTCCCTCCCCCTCCCCCCCCGTGTCTCTCTCTGGTGAGTGCACATGCCCTATGGCAAATAAAATAATAATGATAATACATAACATTAAATAAGCAATTCTTTAAAAAAGAGTAGAGTTTGTTGCCCAAACAAAACCAACCAAACCCCAAAAAACAGCAATAAAGTCAAAGACCAGTGTGGGTTATGCTACTTTGCGTGGTGCCATTTGGGTAAACTGAAACAGTGTGTGTAAACGTGTGTGGGGACTTGAAAGAGCTTGTGGAGAAATGGAATTAAAGTACGAGTTCATTTTGGTTAAAAGAATGTTGACATCTATGCATAGTTCTTTTTTTTTTTTTTTGGAGTGCAAATTATTTTATTTTGATGAATAAAAGCTGTAGTTACAACTAAAAGCTATTTCCTCAATAAAATACTATAAGAATAACAGGTATTTTCCTACACATGGAGTAAGTCTTAGAAAGACCACACATTATTCTTTTCATAATATGCATGCACCAGGATAAACTGGTACTTTCATTCCATCTTTTACCAACTTTTTGAAGTCCGTATGTGTGTGTGTGTGTGTGTGTGTCACACAAACCCAGTGGCACGAGCATAAACATTTTTGGAGACGGATGCCCCAGAATGCATTATCTCCCTTCTGGGAGAGGTATCCAGGATAAGAAAGGGAAACTTTTACTTCTCGATTTTATGTCTTTTTACACCATCAGAATTTCCTTTATCGTATGCATATATTGCTTTTATTTTAAAAATAAAATGAAAAAGTGCACTTTGTGCATATAATTTAAGTACACATTATAAACAAGGCACCAGGGACTCACTGGATCTGGATTTGTTTGCTGATGCCAGTGATGTGTGGAGGAATTTAAACTTTAATAAAAGACATTAATTTCTGCAGCTGACTATGTCCTCTGGCTTCGGCCAGGAACGCCCAGGTCCCACCTAGGGCAGCGAGGAAGGATAGGGGCTGCTGGCCCGCCTTCCCCAGACCTCCCTCCCTCTCCTGCAGGTGAGGGTAGTGCTCCTTGGCCCAGCAGTGCGGGTGGAGGAGCCTCTCTGGTCCTCCCTCTCCCTGGGCTGCCTCTCTGTGCTCCCTGCCTGGGAGACCTATTTCTGGCTTGTAGGCAACATTATTTAAAGTAACAGTTCCGCCCACTGCCTTTCCTACCAGGGAAACCCGCTTCACTCCACCCAAATTGCAGTTCTTGTCTTCCCGCCTCCCAGGCGGGTGGGAGAGGCAGTCGGCCAGCATCTCATTTTGCAAATCCAGCACAGTAAGGTCCCCAGGAATGACAGCGATGACACCACCATCTCCATCATCTCCCTCCTGGGCCGCCAAGACACTCAGCCTTCAACTCTGCCCCACCCTTCAACCCAGCCCCACCCAGGTCTCCATCGGGGCAGGGAGATGGGTAAAATGGCTTCGGGAGGAAGCTGTGTGCTGGGGACCCGCACCTGGTTCACCCAAGAGGAAGCATCGTGTTGGAGACATTCTGAGTAAGGGGGATTTGGGTTGGATTTTCTGGAGTGTGGCCTGGGCAAGTTAAAGAACCATGAGAGCCCGTTTCCCCATCTGTAAAATGTTGATACTGATGGCCATTTCTTTTTTCTTTTCCAAGACCAGGTCTCACTATGTTACCCAGGCCAGGCTCGAACTCACAATCCTCCTACCTCAGCTTCCTACATTGCTGGGACTCATGGGCACATTATCATGCCCAGACTTAAGGTTAGACCAGGAATTGAACCCAGGCTTCCCATGTGGTCCTAGGCAGGAGCACAGTGTCTCAGCAGCGCCCCCTGTGGCTGGGCCCCTGTGATGACCATCGTAAGAGGCCCTGGACAGAAATGGCCGCCTGTGGGGGGTCCTGCACAAACTCTTGTCAGATGAGGGGAAACCGAAGAGCCACTGGCAGGGAGTTATTGGAGGGTGGGAGGCTCAGAGTGGAGG